TAATAAAATCCCAGTAGGCTTTACAGTTATAGGTCAATATTTCACTTCTAAAATGTAAAAATTTCCCTAATAAAATTGCGGGGGTTTAAAGGTGGAGGCTAGTTTTGGGGAAAACATTTACAGGGACCTGGGGTTTGGGGTTGAAAAATGTGGGTTTAAAGAGTTTTTTAAGAAGGGCTTTGTGAAGCAGGGGTTAAACCTGGCTTCCTGCTTGTGTTGCCGGATTGGGAAAGTCCACATTTTTTGTGTCCCAATGGAGAGAGGTTTGAGCAAATTTATCGCACTAACTACCTAGCGGTGACCCATTGGCTTTGAAATTGGTATTGGCAGTTGCCTGAGTTGAGTGGAGTCAAGAAAACTGACATCACAGCCCTCGAGGAATTTCCATGTGTGCCCCGTCCTCCTCTTTGCAAGACAGCCACACGCATAGTTCCAATACTGGTGGTTGAGCACCAGTCCAGACACATCTTTGTTATATGTCCGATCTTGCCTTTCCTCTGAGTGGTATGAGGCTCGGCCCGCCAGACCTCTGGTTACACCCAGGTGCCTCATTCCCTCTCCAGCGCGGCATAATAATCTTGGGTTGTCTCTACACTGATATCCAGTACTTGTACCTAAAGGGCCTTGACCACATCTGCCTTGTCATGTATCAAATCACCATCCAGTGGTGCAGATCCAGCCAATTTGTCTGCCTCTTCATTATTCATATTTGGATTACCTGATTTCCTAATTCTTCTTCTTCTTCTGCCTTTCTATCCCCCAATGGAGCATAGGCCCTCAACCAACTCACGCCAAGTCGTTCTATCTTTCCCCATTGCATGGAGCTCTCCCCATGTCCTCCTCATCTTTCTGACTTCATTCTCAAGCTCTCTTCTCCGTGTGTTTTTGGCCTTCCTTTATTCCTGTGATCCTGTGGGTTCCAATGCAAAGACATTTTGGTTATGCTGTTCTCATGTTTTCTCAGTGTGTGCCCAATCCAGCGCCAGCGTCTTTTCCTCAC